ATATAATATATAAATAGGAAAAAATGAATAAATATATATATACACATTATAATATCAGGAGTGAATTATAACAGATTTCTTAATCGTAGAATTCTATTATTATTGAATATCTACTCCTGATTATATATATAATATATAATATTATGTGTCAGTGTGCAGCAGCTAGCGTGCGGCGGCCAGCGTGTGTTGCAGAAGAGCATTTGGACAGCATTTACAGGAAATTGTCAGCAATAATAGGTGAAAGAGAGTAGAGAAACATTAAGACTTTGGTAGTAAATAGATTTCGTATTTATTTAGCATTATATTTTATTGAAACGCTCCAAGTGCCTGTGCTCTAACACAGTGCTATTCAACCTGGGTAAACGGTGCACCCAAGGGTGAATAAAATTTGGATTGGGGTGAATGGGGAAGATAGGGTGAATGAGGGTGAATGAGATTTAGGAAAGAGAAGGTGGACAAGCTTGCTCTGTCCGACACTACCACTCGCTGCGGGTGCAAGATGGTTGCTGATGACTTGAAAGATCAGCTTTTCAAGAAACTACACCAAGCTGTCTGTTACGGTCTTCAACTTGATGAGAAGACAGATGTAGCAGGCGAAGCGCAGTTGATCGTTTATTGCCGTATCCCCGACTTGGAAAAGGGAACTCTCGTCAACCACTACGTGTGCTGTGTACCGGTAGGAGTCGAAAACCACTGCGCAAGCAATTTTTGACAAGCTGACTGAGTTCTTGGATGAAGGGGATGTGCAATTGGATAAATGTAAGGCTATGACCACAGACGGAGCAGCGGCAATGACTGGACGAGTGAACGGGCTTGTCCAAAAAAAACCAAGCTGTGTCGCCAACTTGCGTCGCCACACACTGCATGATTCACAGAGAAGCCTTGGCTGCAAAGCCGATAGGATCGGACAAGACCGAGAAGAATGAACTTGAATTGATACTGGAGGACGTTGTGAAGATCGTGAATGCAGTGAAAGCCAACACGAAGAAGCATCGGATGTTCAGTAAACTTTGCAAGGACATGGATGCCGAATTCTCGAAACTGCCCTACCACAGTGGCGTTTGCTGGTTACCAAGGGGGAAGGTGCTGAACCGAGTTCTGGCTTTGTGATACGAATTGACAGTATTTTTCATGGAGCAAGCAGACGAGAAAACTGTGCTGTTTCAAGATGACTTTTGGGTTTCCAGGCTGGCCTATTTGGCTGATGTCTTCGGCCACCTGAACAAGTTGAATCTTTGACTCCAAGGAAATGGCGGCGACGTGTTTATTACGATTTCCAAAGTGCAAGGCTTCGAAAAGATGATCGAACAGTGGAAACGGAGGGCTGAGAATGCTAATTTTTCGGATTTTCATGAGGTACAGACTTTTATGCGAGGATCCAACTGGTGGGTGATGGAGAACGAAGAGGAGTCGTTGCAACAAGTTGTGACTAGATTGGTGGTCGACCACCTCACACTGCTTCAATCGAATTTCAACAAATACTTTCCCGAAAAAGAGAAGCAGAGAAATGCCAAAAAGCAGTGGATAATCAATCCTTTTGTGGCGGACGAAGACGAAAGATTGTGCGAACTGCAGACCGACCTCGTCCAGAAGGTTAACTTCAGAACTTTTGAGACATACAGTGACTTCTGGATATCACATCTACGCATCCCCGAGTACCAGCAAATCGCTGAGGAAACTGTAAGCGCCCTCGTAGCAATGCCCCGGCGGGCATCAAGACCAAACAGCGAGCCTCAATTGAAGACGTGGACACGCTCATGAGAGGGGCGTTATCAGAACTCAAGCCCAGATTTGACCAAATCGGGGACAGCATACAACAACATCCGTCACATTAGTTCGTACGGTTAGGTTAGGCTAGGTCGTTAGGACAGTACTGGGTTAGGACTTAGTTATGTATTGCAGTTTTGAAAGTAATAAAACAAAATTGGATAATGGGATAGTGGGGTGAATGACTTCGGAAGTCGAGTCGCTAGGGGTGAACAAGTTCAAAAAAGGTTGAATAGCACTGCTCTAACAGACTAGCACCCCAACCCACGCTGATAAACCTGCCTGCAACACCCTGTAAAACCAGGTCTGCACAATCATATCGAACACTAGCACCCCAACACGTGCTGTTAAACCTGTCTGCAAAACCGGGATCCACTTACTGCTTAATATAGATTACTATAATAACACTATCGTATGTACAATCTATCAATGTAAAATCGGTAGATTGTGCATATCGGTAACATGTGTTCGCAATTCTGGGAACCAGTATGGCCGGCGGCACGGGATTGTAGGTAATATTGGTATTTTTAGTGCAAGTCGCGGAACCCTCTATTGACGCTGATAGGGTCTATGTCTCCCTGGGTACCGCCAGAACTAGCTCTAGTACTATAGCCCACGTACAGTTGCCGCAGGCTGCGGCAACTGTACGCGGGCTATAGTACTAGAGCTATGCCGGAACGTACCCTGGGTACGGTCCGGTATGCCGGAACGTACCCTGGTAACTATCTGATATGCCGGACCGTACCTCGCTAACTCCCCACCGTACCATGACAGGCTGACTGTCCCTGTTCCGTCCACTAATGATGTCGCAACATTTGAAATATACATACAGACCGCCAATCCATTTGAAATATCCATATAGCGGTACGCTTCCTGCCAACAGTCGGTCGAGGGGTTGAAAACTGGGTACGGTTTGAAGTAGGCGAGGTATGGTCTGGCATATTAGATAGTTACCAGGGTACGTTCCGGTTTACCGTACCTTACCCAGGGTACGTTCCGGCAGTACCCAGGGAGACATCTAGACCCTATTTGCTCTATTGACGTATTGTACTGTAGTGCCTGTACCCTATAACCCTAGCTCCAAGAAACGGTACGGTACAGTATACCGGAACGTACCCTGGTAACTATCTGATATGGTTAGGGTTAGGGTTATGGTTATGGTTAGGGTTAGGGTTAGGGAGTAGGCATAGGCAACTCCCTAGACTCGTTAGTGGAGTAGGCGTGATACGGTCCGGCATATTAGATAGTACCAGGGTACGTTCCGGTCAGGTTAAAAAATACTTTTTTTTCACCAGAGCCATTTTTCTGACTTGTCAAAAATTTACCAGAGCCATTTTTTGAAGCTCCAGAGCCATTTTTTATGTATCCAGAGCCATTTTCATAGTTTCAAATATTCGAAAAATACGTAATATAATCAATATATATAATGTACTCTTATTTTATTTGTGGTGATGGAGACATCAATGTAAATTGTATGTATTATTAATTCCATGAGTGTGTCAAATTTTCTGTTAATACATGTACCTATAATTATATTTACATTACTACATATCACTAATCACACTTGTAACTCATGATCCAAAAATCCTTTGAATCCATTCGCATTCACAATGCCGCCTCCGAGGCTCCGACACCTTTGACCTCTCCCATCTTCTAAGTTCTATCATTGTACCATACTACCATTCTGTCCACCACTCCCCTTCTCAGTTCTAACTTCTCACTCTTCTCTCTCTACATGTACACATGCTTCACTAGTCACTACTTCTAGATTGCTTATTGTTTTGTTATTCTGTAATAAACATACAGTATGTACCACGTTATCTTTTCGTTTGGATGCAAATAAATGTTTTTTTTATATAAAAATACCACTGTGCAGTTGTTTGTTTCTTTTTTCAGTCTCAAAAGTTCTCTGTGTGCCTGTGAGTCTGTGACATCACATCACATCTTTCAGCATATAGTTTATCATTGACTATCATTCATAGTTTCAACAGACAATGTATGAATGCAATTGTCACCACATCATTGCAGATTAATACAAAACAAGAGCTGGATTCAGCTGGTATTATTGTCAATTTAAATTTAATTATGAATGAAAGTGTCAACAGTTTCTAGTTCTACACTTTGTTGTATAACTTTTATTATCAATTGTATTTTATTATGCGTCAGCGGGTTGATCTAGCCAGCGCCAGCTGCAGCGGATACATAAGCTGGGTTTACACTGACGATTTTGAGTTGCCAAATTGTACGAACTTGGCAGTTTGGCAACTGACAATCGTCAGTGTCAAAAGCAAAAGTCGCACGTCCAGCCGATCAATAGCAGCGAGTCGAAAGATTAGAACATGTTCTAATTTCCCTAACTCGGAGCAGGCGAGTTGGACGTTTTTTTGCCAAGTGGCCAATCAGACAACAGCAATCAGGGGTGTGTCCCTTCACCCTAGAGGGAGAGCACGTTTTTGCTTTAGGCGCCACGCTGGCAGCATGTAATACATGCAAAACTGCGAATCCGCGTCACCCCGCGCTACGGGTCAAAGAAGAAAAACGCCAACTTGACCGCATATAATCATCAGTGTAAACCCAGCACGGTGTATATGTAGCGCCCGCTGTACGTACGTAGGGCCTACTTGTGTACATTTCAATTTATCAGGCCACGGGAGCGATTTTCTCTCGGGCGACCGCTCCCGTTATTGTTCTTACCAGAGCGATTTTAGAGCTTACCAGAGCGAAATCGCTCGTCGCTCCCGTGTATTTTATTCCCTGGTTCCGGTATACCAGACCGTACCCAGGGTACGTTCCGGCAGTACCCTGGGGGACATAGACCCTCTCAGCGTTAGTCACACCGCCTGGTCGGGTTACGTACCCTAACCCCACGGCCCCAGCTGTGCTAATTTAAATAGATCTTTATGATATACGTAGCTTTCCAGTGGAAATAGCATGTAACAAACCAAAACCTATTGGGTTATGTTAACTCTACCTGTGTAGCCGCTTGGCTCCCGGGCTACGGGAGAGAGATATAATACTACAATACTACTACTACTAGTACTAGTAGTAGTAGTACTAGTACTAGCATTGTTCACTTACCACTACTAGGTACAGGCTGGTCACTTATGTTAAGTGAACGTAGCTCTTCCGTCATGTTAGTAATAGTACTAGTGGCACAAGAACATACTGATCATTTTGATGTACACTAAAGTGGCTGTACTAGCTCAGTAAATCTTTATGAAGTTGCATTAGCATTGGTAATGCAATAATGCAAGTAAATTGGTGATGGAAGCTGCCATCTTGGATCGCTGTATCAAGATAGGTATCATATCTTTGGACTGTATCCACTTTATATTTACGAAGAGACGAGGAACCCATCTATCCACCGCTGCCACGTGACCTAAAATCATTACAATCATAACAAAACCAGAGCATATAATATATCATATAAATCAATTTATGTGCTCTGACAAAACTATGTTATTGTTGATGATTACAACTATACGTACGTGCGTGTACTCGCGTGTACGTGCATGTATCTGCGTGCACGTGCGCACTGGCGTAGCTAAGGGGGGGGGGGGCACAAGAGGGCCATGGCCCCCCTGTTGATTTGCAAACAAAACAAAAAAAAATATTTTCCTTGCCTCTCACGCGTCTTCACAGGACTGGCCACAATTCCTGTTACTTCTGCATCTGCTGAACGAACATTCTCTAAAATGAGCATTGTCAAGTCTAAACTTCGTTCTACAATGACCCAGCCACGATTCTCTGCTCTCATTCTCCTTTTCGTTGAACAGGAGTTAGTGAATGACATTAATGTCAACGAAATCCTCAAAATCGACGAGAAGACTTAATTGACTTTGGATTTTGAGATTTCTGCAGCAGACAAAAACATGACTAAAAGAAATGGAGATAATTCTTCTTTGCTCAGATTTGTGTTGTTGCAAGTTGGCTTTGATTGAATTTTATGGTTCTG